ACAATACACAAAGCAGTGTAATGAGGGGGTTAAGAACACAGGCTCGGGGTTTAAACTTTCTGGGACTCAGTTATTCTTTGGGCAACTAATTCTCTATGCCTTAGGTTCCACATCTATAAAAAAGATAATATAATAATAGTAGCCTCTACTTCATTGGGATGATGCAAGAATTAAGTAAGGTAATTAATGTAAAAACAATGTGTGGCACATTATAAAAATGAATATATTATTATTAAACTAATGTATTCATTATTATTATAAATTAACAAATTCTTCATCTATTACTGGTACAAAGGCATTGTATTGAACATATCTCAAACCCTCCAAAAATGTTTAAACATTTTCACCTCACACCCATTAGGATGGTCACTATAAAAAAAGAAAATAGCAAGTGCTAGAAAAATGTGAAGAAATTGGAACTCTTAGGCCCTCTTAATGGGAATGTAAAATGGTACAGCTGCTATGGCAAATGGTATGGAGGGTCCTTAAAAAATTAAAAATATTTTGGAGGCCAAGGCAGGAGGACCACTTCAGGCCAGGAGTTCGAGACCAGCCTGAGTGAGTGGGACCCCACCTCTACAAAAAATAGAAAAATTAGCCAGGCATGGTGGTGTGTACCTGTAGTCCTAGCAACTTGGGAGGCTGAGGCAGGAGGATTGCTTGAGTCCAGGAGTTAGAGGTTGCAGTGAGCTATGTTGATGATGCCACTGAACTCTAACCCAGGCAACAGAACAAGAACTTAGCTCAAAATAAATAAAATAAAAATAGAATTATGATATGATCCAGCAATATTACTTCTTAGGATGTGTACATATGCAAGAGAACTGAAAATAGCATCTTAAAAAATGTTTATACAACCATGTTCATTGTAACATTATTTACCATAGCCAAGAGGTGTAAGCAACCTAAATGTCCATCAGTGAATGGATACAGAAAATACACACACACACATATACAAAAGAATACAGTAGTTGCCCACATATCTACGATTTTACTTTCAGATATTTCAGTTCCCCAAGGTGCAGTACAATAAGATATTTTGAGAGAGAGATCACATTCACATACCTTCTATTATAGTATATTATTATAATCATCTTATTATTGTTAATCTCTTATGCCTAATATATAAATTAAACTATATCATGGATTTGTATATAAAGGGAAAAAATCATAGTGTATGTATAGTGTTCAGTACTATTATAGTTTTTGGCACCCACTGAGGGTGGTCCTGGAACATATAGGCCACAAAGAAGGGGAAACTACTGTATTATCCAGTTTATAAAAGAAATCCTGCCATATACAAAACCATAGGTGAACCTTGAGGACATCATGCTAAATGAGATAAACCAGTCACAACAAATGCAAATACTGCAAGATTCTACTTAGATGATGTATCTAGAAGAGCCAAACACATAGAAACAGAAAGTAGGATGGAGGTTGCTGGGGTGGGGGTGGGGAGAGTGGAGAGGTGGGGGGACACAAAGAGTTGGTTTTTAATGAGTATAGAGTTTCAGTTGGACAAGATGAAAAGGTGAACAACAATGTACATACAGTTAACACTGATGTACCATACACTTAGAAATGGTTCAGATGGCAAATTTTATGTCATATCTAAACATCATTTCTTTTAAATATGAATTTATATTTACTATTTGTTGTTGTTTTTTTTAGAGACAGGGTCTCCCTCTATTGCCCAGGCTAGAGTACAGTGGCATCATAGCTCACTGTAGCCTCCAACTTCTGGGCTCAAGCGATCCCCCTGCCTCAGCCTCTCGAGTAGCTGGGACTACAGCCATGCGCCACCACACCCAGCTAATTTTTAAAAAATTGTTTTGTAGAGACAGGGTCTTGCTATGTTGCCCAGGCTGGTCTCAAATTCCTGGGCTCAAGAGACTCCCCCCTACCTATGCCTTCCAAAGTACTAGGATCACAGGTGCTAGCCACTGTTCCCAGCCATTTTACTTTTAAGTATAAACACTAAAATATTTTACCAGCACTCTTTACCTAATTTTCCTTTTATGTGAAACTTTGAAATTGTATAAATGAGCTCCAATGACTAGGTCTTCACATTGTTGAAATCCCATTATCAGCAACTTTAAAAGAAAGTGAATTAATACAGTTTATAACTTGAGTTAATGTATAACTTATAAGGTATTATTGAAGTTTATCAATATATCAGAAATATGATATATTAAAATGATATATTTTAATATATCAGAAAAATAAATCACTGTCTTGGGCTTTATAAAAAAAAAAAATCTTACTCATGCCATTCATTCATGCCAAAATTCTGAACCTCACCCTGCCATTTCTTGCAATTTGCCTAACATCTTGGCTTTTAACAAGCTCTTACTGATGTTCTCTTTCCTACAGATTTAGCAAATCATATTGAACTATTTATATACTCCTACAACTATTTACCAAACAAAAGTGACCCACACCAATAGGAACTTCTGACAACAGAACTCTCACTATTCATTTTTATTTTCTCCTACATTTAGGGTGAACATTCTAGTATACCATCACTGGGTTTAACCATAACTAATTTTGAGTTTCCTGGAGGAATGGCTTTTATTGTATAATTATTCTAATGTATGTATAAAAAGCATGCACTTTCAAAACTAGAAAGGACAAAGTATCATTCCAACTATTTTGTGCTCCAGCATTTCATATGCTGATCTCTAGACTGAGGCAATTCTCACAAGGGCTGAATGAAACAACCTCCTGTGTCGAGACTTGGTTTTGGGTGGAGGGAGAGTAAGAAGAAATGAAGGAATGCTAGTCGAATGTTCAGAGAGCTCTGATGCCTTTGTTTGGGAGTTTATCTTGTAATCAAAGAACAGCCTCTATTACCTTCATCAAAACAAACAGTCATCAGATAGTACAGATTATGGATGGCCTGTCCTCAGGGAAAAAGGCCAGTGACCTGCAGGCAGACTCAACCTACTTCCTAAGAAGTCCAATCATAAATATAAAATCGTACCCTGAAAAAAGGCAGGAAAGTCAATGGTATTTTTATAAGTAACTGGAACTGATCTGTGAAGTCCTTCAGACCAGAACATATGAACACCACAAACCTCTTTCTCAATAGCTACTTGCTGGGAGAGCCCATGAATTTGCCAGGTTGTAGGTTGGGGCAGGCTAAGAAAAGAAAATTACCAACAAAATCTTTGGAGGAAACGTCAAGGCAAGGGCTTCCTTTTCATAAGAGAGCAACTGAATCAGGAGTAAATATATTTGAATGGCCGAGTTGAGTCAGAACAGGGGATGTTACCACACTGGAACTAGAGAAGGTACCAGGTTTTATGCTAGTTCCACTCAAAATCAGCACCTGAAGAGCAGCTTGCTTTCCATGCTGCTACTTCTGAGAACACTGGTTCAGGTAAGCCATGGGGGATTTACTTTATTTTCTAAGTGCAGAGGGTTTTATTTTATTTTTTTTAAGTTGACAAAAATAAATAAGAGTCTAAGCCAGGCAGAGAGCCTACGCCTATAATCCCAGCACTCTGGGAGGCCAAGGTGGGAGGATAGCTTGAGGTCAGGATTTCAAGACCAGCCTGAGCAAGAGGAAGACCATCTTTACCAAAAATAGAAAAAATTAGCTGGGCATGGTGGCACATGCCTGTAGTCCCAGCTACTCCAGAGGATTGCCTGTGGGTACTCTAGCTCAGTGGATAGAGTGAGACTTCTGTCTCTGGGGGGAAAAATAAAAGGATCCACCCACAAAATATAATCTCTTAAAATAATCACTCTTATTTTATATAACCAAAAGATCCAAATTTTTCATCAGCCACTGTTACTTAATTTACATTGATTTTACATTGATTCTGTTTCTGATTATATAACTGATATACATATACATACACATGTTTATATATACATGTGCACTATGTCATAGTGCTCACATATGTGTAATTAAAATAGGCTTAAAATATGCAAACAGAGAAAAAGAGACTAGAAAATCTGATCCCTCAAGAAGTAAAAATATTCTGAAAATGGAGATAATAGACTAAAAAAATCATCATGATAGAGAATTTGGTTTCAGTTTAAATAAATGATAATGTATGCAAAGCTGCCTAAAAAATCCTCTGGAGCAAAAATCTTGTTAATCACTGTTGCCTACAAGGAAGATAAAGGGGGTGTTTTGGTCTAAAAGTTACCCACTCTATGGCTGGCAGGTCAAATTCAGCCTCGGGCTTGTTAGTGTATGTCCCCAAGCTCAGAGCGTTTTTTATATTTTTAAACAGCTTAAAATACAAAACAAAGAGTATGGAACAGCGAAAGCATGTGGCCTACATATCCTAATGTATTTGCTATCCTAAGATACTTAAACTACTTAATTTACTATCTGGCCTTTTATTAGAAAAAGTCTGTTGACTAGTAGCTCTGCAACAACCTAAGAAGTATGACAATATAGGTGAGTTTCTAAAAGTCAGAACAAACCACAGATAAAGAATCACTACTCATTTCCCCTAAGAAGTGGTTCTACTAAGTCAAAACCAAGAGAGTGAAATTGTAAATTACGCTGTTTTTAGACCCTCCTTCACCTAACACATCTTCTCCACCAAAAGAAAGTCTGCAATACTTTTACTATCAAAATAAACACTAACCTAACTATTAAAATAACAAGAGCAGAATGATATTAGGTGTTTATAATTTGGCAACATGAATGCATTTCAAACACTCAGACAAAATTGGCATCCGATGCAAGAAAAAGTGGAAAAGTCAACTAAATTTACAGCAAAAGCAAATCTTCTGAGTTAAAGCAAATGAATTACAGACATTTATTTTGAAAATATTACTTCTATATTTAATACTGCATTCAAACTGATAATCACTGAGATTCATCAAGTCAATTTAGACATTTCCATATTATTTTGGATTTTGATTTTAGAACATAGAGTTTTAAAGCTGCCAGTTACTATAAAATGGGGTAGTTTTTATTTTCCTAAACACTATTTAAGTTAAATAGAAAACATTTTATTCTTTTCCTTTGGAAGGTTCCTGTGATGTACAGATACTCAATTTGTACGTTCTTATTTCCTCCACTGCTGCAAATATTCTAAGACTGAAATAGCACATGATGGCAAAGAAAATTGGACATCCAGGAAGGATCCTCTAGGACAACATCACTTGCTTCAGGAAGGAGTCAGGCAACTCCCAATGTGGCAAAGAAGTTGATAGCATCCAATGGAAGGGCTATGCCCATATGCCTTTAGCACATGGCCTGCAGGCAAATGCCTAATCTTTGATAGCAAATATTTAAGGTGAGATTTAGGCTCTTATCAATGCTACCTTTATGTGGTTTTGTTTTTTTTCTTTCAATGCTACCTTTAGACCTAGGCAAGAAAATCCCCTTTCTGAAAGCCCTGGGCTTTAGAAGGCATCCACAGTGCAAGGAGGAGCCCATTCAAAGTGCTAAGGGGACATAAGGGGACAAGCCCAGCTGGAGCCATCCCGTGTGCACCCCACGATTTCAAGTACCTGTGACCCTCGATTTCCGTGGCTAAATCACTCAGGTCCATTTACAGAGCTTGAGAGATTGTTCTCTTGGGTCCATCCTCTGCAAGCCAGACTGGACCAACCTGCCCTGCTGGTGTGCACATTTTGAGACCAGTGCAAGGTCAAAAGAGAGCTGTTTGGAAGGGGTCCTTGGGCCTTGGACATGGGGGCAGTAGTATCCACACTATGTATGAGATGAGTCACAGACTGGGCACCAGCTCTTCTTGTATTGCTTCTTTCTGACACAAATCTCCTAGGCATCTAAGACTGAAAAATAAAAAGCTAGCCTCCCAGGCCATTATGAGAGTATATTTGGTCAAATAAGAGCCTAGAACCTTTTTCATTTAGCAGTTTGTTATCTTGCTTTGTAACTTTGGCTCCAAATCCCACGTGTGAAGCTTAACTAGGAATCTGATGTTTTGTGCAAGTTCCAAGATTCAGGCTTTCTTTTTGATTTACCTAGTTTCCCTTCTATATCACTGGGGGGAAAAAGTTAATTGATCATCATAAAACTAAATAAAACAGAATATCCAGGCATTCCACCTAAATGCCTCTGAGCATAAAAGGGTACCATTGGTGAGAAATGGCTGCAGGGAGAGATGGTTTATGATCATAGCTACAGGGTAGATAACTGTGAGCCCAGGAAGGTTACATACAAATCCTTCGAGTTTAGCATCAGGGATGACTCTTTGTGCTAGATTATTTGAACCATCCAGTGCTTAAGTCTCCCAGTCATGTTCCCAATATCAACCAAAGTTAATAATTTATTGAACACTTACTATGGGTCAGGCACCTTGACATACGTTCTCTCATTTACCCCTCATCATCTGGGAAATAGAGGCACAGAGAGATTAAGGTATCACAGCTGATAAGTAGCTGAGACTTAGGCCTGGCTTTACATGACTCTAAAACCTATGCTCCAATGAATGTCTAAAAAAAAATCCCATATTTTTCAATATGTAATTTCTTTTTTTAAAAAATGTGGGAGAAAGAATGCCTTATCTCTAGCACTAGAATGAACAGTTGGAATGGCCATATATATGATGAAAAAATATATATATAAATTATTTTCCTTATTCTTATATATAAATAAAAACTTCAGGTGGCTAGTGTTTTGTGTATTAAATAATGAAATTTATAGTGACCTTTTTTGGATATAAAGATGTTTTCCTTCTTCTACCTCCTTAACAAAAGTCCAAAAAAAAATCTCTTAATGAAAAGGTCCACCCCCAAAATATTCCCATTCATTTATGAATTGAGGCCAAAATTGGAATTCAAAAAAAAAAATCAGAACAACAATTCACACCCAAAAAAGTAATATGCCTAGAAAAATGACAATGAAATCATTGCTGCCACTGTAACCCTAGTGCCCTATTGAATGACAGGGTAGAACGGTCAAAGTTCTCTAAAAAGTTTTTTGGTCAGAAAAAAAAGAAAACAAAAATCAAAAAACGAAACCTTGACTTCTACCTAAGTGCTGAACTAATTCAATAGTTTTTCAATGATAACCTAAAAACAGTCAATAAATAAAATATGCCTTTCTGATTGACTTTCACTGAAATCTATGAATAATTGCCATTCCCGACAGAAACACCACATTCAGCTTTGAAGAGAACAATTTGCATTACCTTTCTCAAGAAATGCTCTAGATATACGTTCTTTGGTTCCAAGTTTAAGAAGTATTTTGCCCAACTTTTAAAACTTCTATGTTTATGGCACATTTGATAACCAATCCTAACTTATTTTTATAAGTTATTATAATCAGAAGTAAAGGTTCGAAAGAGGCCATATTGTCCATGAATATGCCTTTGGATACACATGTGCCTTAAGTCAACGAGGGTAGAACCAAGTCCTGGGGAAGTGGTAGCTACACTTACATAACGTCCTGGCTGTTAGGGTTCCGTGTCTGCAGAAAGACTTGTTCTCAAGGGGAGTTATGTAATCTCTTCTTATTCCCCCCGAGAGCTTGTTTTAAGGGAGGGTAGGAAGCAAGGGCGACCTGTCAAGGAGAGTTTGCCTGCAATGCTGCCCGAAGGCAGGAGCGTGGTGGATTCTACAGCAGCCCCAGCAACAGAGTCTGGGCCACTCTTTGGAGTTCAATGGCGATCACTACTGTATTTGGCCACAGAAAGGAGGGGCCGTTCCAATCTTCCTTACAATTACCGCCCTAATTATTACATTATACTTTCACAATTTAATCCCTTTATTTGCCTCACTGCATTTTTGGGGCTAAGTAAGCACCACAGTGTGACGCCTGATGATGCAGCTAGCGGGGTAGCCTTACGGAGGGCTGCCCAGCTGCCAGCTCCAAGCACAGCCAGGTGGGCAAGTCCAGAGTGCTAATCTGGACAGTGACATCTCTGTCTCCTGCTCAAAATCCTTGAAACTTGCTCTCTCCACAATATGGAGTAAAACTGAGCACATACATCAATGCCAAGAATCACCCTGTGCTTTGCTCCGTTAAGCTTTTGGTAGCATTTCAGTAGCCTAAAGAATAATCATGCATAGAATTCCAATTGTTCTGTTCTAATTATTGCTCAGCAAATAACTATCGCATAGCTATTAATATGTAAGCTTTATGATTTTTTTTTCAAATAAGTGTCAGGAAATTTTTTCACATAGTTATTCTATCTTTACAAAACATGCTGAAGACCCAAGAGTTTAATACCTAAAAATTTGGTATTCCCTTAAGGCAGGAGACATTTGTCCATGGAATTTGCCTCAATCTATAGAACCTTTTGGAACACAGCCTTAATCAAATGTTGATAAGATGAAAATCCAACCAGCATGCTACCTGACTCACAGTAGGTTCTCAGTAAATATTTGTTGAATAAATGGGAGTGGTTTTCACACTGAGAACTTCTTGTTTATATTAGCATACACAATCCTTGTTCATTTATCCCAAAATATTTGCTTATCTTTGTATAGTTAGACCCAGAGCTGTGTAAACTGATTTAACCAAATCAAATTACTAACAGCTTAAATTTCATATACTCTGTAACCATAAGATCTATAACACTGTTGAACAATGGCTGGTAAATTACCCAAAGACTTGAGGTGTATTTTCATTCTCAACTTATGCCATGTTAGTAAATAGGCAGAAGACATTTTTCAAATGCCCTAAAGTGAATACAAAGCCTTGTGTATAGACCACCACTGTTTTTAGCTTACTCACTTTACGTGTGATTTTATATTTTGTTTTACTCTTAAGCATTGTGAGAAGTAGATATCAATGCCTTCAATTTATGGATAATGATAAAGAAAATAAAGATCCAGTGGATGAAGGATTTTTGTAAGAAAATAGTAATAAAATATGGCAATAATGAGCCAGAAAATAGAAACATACACTATTAAAATATTTAGAGAATTTTCATATATGCAGCACACTAACTTGGCTTTATGTTCTTCAATTAAAACTATGAAAAGGTTGGGCTCAAACATCCACTCTAGTATCTAAGAGTATCGTGTCTTGAGAAACTCTGTGCTTTAAGTAAACTCTCTTAGCTGTGTTCTCATCAGCCACAGATCAAGGAAGCTATGTTTAACAGACAACACAAAAGCAAGGGGGAGATGGTACAACCTCTTCCACGAAGGATAGTCACTAAAATCTTTGGTGCAACTCATTGAGAAGAGTTGCACTGTCCGATGCTCTTAAAAGGGAAGGGTGGAAGACTTCTCTGTGTGCAAAGGGCTTCAGAATCACCTTTTGTTAAAACATTTAAAAGAATAAGAGCTTACCAAACATTACTTCTTTTGTACTTTAAAAACTATACATCACGGGCCGGGCGCAGTGGCTCACACCTGTAATCCTAGCACTCTGGGAGGCCGAGGTGGGCAGATTGCTCGAGGTCAGGAGTTTGAAACCAGCCTGAGCAAGAGTGAGACCCTGTCTCTACTATAAATAGAAAGAAATTAATTGGCCAACTAATATATATATATATATATATATATATATATATATATATATATATTAGCCGGGCATGGTGGCGCATGCCTGTAGTCCCAGCTACTCGGGAGGCTGAGGCAGGAGAATTGCTTGAGCCCAGGAGTTTGAGGTTGCTGTGAGCTAGGCTGACGCCACGGCACTCACTCTAGCCTGGGCAACAAAGTGAGACTCTGTCTCAAAAAAAAAAAAACAAAAAAAACTATACATCACGAAGTCATTAAGGGTTGAAGTAAACTGATTTAGTTATGTAAGATGACAGTGGTCAGCTGTCAGTGGTAAACACCACACTCACATGGTATAGAGCAGTGGTTCTTAAACTCGAGCATGCATCAGAACCACCTGTAGGGCTTGGTGAAACACGGATCACTAGGCCCACCCCCAGAGATTCTGACTGAATTCATACAGTGAGGCTGGGAATTTGCATTTCTAACAAATTCCCTGGTGATGCTGATACTGCTGGTGCCGCTACCCTTTGAGGACCAATCGCATAGACTGCAGCACACTATAGTGCAGTGGTTCTTAACCTTGGCTTTGCATTAAGCGTTACCTAGGGAGCTTTTAAAAATCCCCCTGGAAGGGAAAATGCATTTGTACAGGCAATAGGTTTCTTAGGACAAACTAAGATGACTGTCACAGTGTTTTTTCCAGCCCAGGCCCCTAGCTAGCCGGCTTTCCAGGGAGGCGTGAGTCAGCACACTCGTGTAACCAAGGTGTTATCTCCTACGTGAACCCATGCAATCACGCTTTCCCATGACCTGCTGCCACTATCATTCAGAGCCATATATAAGTGCTCCGCCATGTTCTCGGCCATGCTTTTCGCCACTGCTGTATCCCACGACAATAAAGAGCATGTCTCACCTGCCCACCGCCACTGGCCTCTTCTTCCAATTGCTGAAGGCTGTACCTGAGTACGTGCTAGCCACAAGAGGTCCTTCCTCACACCCCTTACTCTGGGCTACACCCAAGACCAATTGATTCAGAATTCCGGGCATGAACCCTGGCCTCGGGATCTTTTTTAAAAAACATCTTCAGGTGACTGCAGTGAGCTGGCAAGCTTGAGAACCACCTCTATGTGAAAAGACAGACTTTGTGTCCATGACTGGTTGTTAAGAAGAGACAGTTTGCAAACTTCTAAGCAGAATCATTAGTGTGCTATAGGTCCTCAATAAATAATTATTCTTTCCTTCTCTCATTGTTTTTCAAAAGTGTATCACAAGGCATCTAAAAATGTGAAATCTAATTTTCTGCCAGAATATATATCTACAAGTTGTAAAATGAGCTGAGTTTCTGTATTTGAGGATTACTAGTTTAAAGGGGCACATACAAATTTCAGTCATATTTTTCTACATTTTATGTGTGAAATAATGTTATTTATAAATTTGGAAATATATAAAGGCTTGGGTATGTATCACTTATATACCTTGGAAGTGTATTTTATAATTAAATGTAATTTCATTGGTATAATTTTGAAGTCGTTTATATTAATTCATTCAAAAGGTGGGAAAAGAAGGAAGATTAGTAGATAATTACATTTGTCTAGAGCAATGGTTGCCAAAGTATATGGTCTCTCTACTGGTAGCATCAGCATTTATATTTAGAAACATAAATTCTCAGGCCCCTACCCCATACCTAATGAATGGGAAACTCTGGATGTGAGACCCAGTAATCTACATTTTAATAAGACTTCCAGGTGATTGTAATGCATGCTCAAGTTTGAGAACCACTGGTCTAAGGTATTTATTACTCCCATGCACCTATAGGAAGAGCTAAAGAGGTAAGAAGCACTGTTAATCCAACGTGCATTTGTTCAGTTGCCATACAGAACCCACATTGCTCTAATGATAGCTATGTTCTCTTCAACGCCACCCAAAGCTTATTATCATTGCATCATTAGAGCCTAATAGTGAAAGGAGAATTAATGGATAGGGAGTATATCTAGGGGGGAAGTTTATCCTATCAATCTTCCACTATCAATTTTAATCTATTTCTATTTTTCTACTCAAGATAGAATTAAGACTATGTAACTTGACTTATGAGGATAAGAACTATGGAAAGAAAAAAAAAAGGAAAGAAAGACCATCATGTGAGGTTAGAAGTGGATAGGCTATTCCCAGATCCAACACTAACCTTGAATTGTCCTCTTGAAGAATGCCTTGCAGGCTTCACATGACGCCACCCCATAGTGGTACCCGGAGGCGATGTCACCGCACACCAAACACAGTCTCTTGGGCATCGAGTTGAGCATGTACTCGCACTTGGTCTGAGGATCTTCCACGATGGTGCTGGAGCAGTCGTCGTACAGTTTCCTGACAGGCCCGCTACCTCCCAGGATAGGAGCAGAGGGGTAGAGAGGCGGCGAGTCAAGTCCGTTCTGATGGCCATTCATGGTTGAACTGTAGCTCCCACTGGCGTCTGAAGAGCCACCGGGGCTGTGGTGGTTGACGCTGTCCGTCAGGGAGGCCGGGCTGGAGGGTTCCGTCTTGATGAAGGACGAACAGCTGGAATCAATGTGTCGATCTTTGTTTGACATTCTGCAGAGAAGCCTGAGATTTAGGGAGATACAAACAGAGAGAGAAAAGAGAAGGAGAGAGTGTCAGATGCAGAGACCAAAAGAGGTAGAAACAAAGAGATGGTGGGGGAAGGAAAAAAATAGAGAAAGCAAAAAGGAAAGATAAAAGGAGGGGGGAAAAAAAATAGAAGAATTCATATGTTAAAGACACTACTCTTTGAGAGTGCTTCCTAAGGGCTAGGGACTACATATCATTCATTCTCTAGTCAATATTTCTTGTTCTACAAGAAGGTAATCAGCATAAGGGCATGACAGGGTTACATCAAAGTGCCCAGACAGGCCATAAACAAAAGCTCTAAAGGGTCCAATTGCTTTTTATTTTACCTTTCTCTTGGAGAGCCACTGTCAATATCTAAATCAACTGTCTAGATTCTAAATTTGTCAATGGAAGAGGTGGTGATTTGCAAAGTCTATATCATTTCTAAAATTGTATTTTATCCTCACACTGCCTTTCCCTCCACACACTGATGCTGCCATCATTTTATTATGAGCAGAATCAAACTTTTATTTTCAAGGCTGAACAGATGATCCCAAGCTCTGTAATTACTGTTTGTCAGCACGCTTCCATAAGCATAACTGTGTCTTTTATTGATCTGACTAAAACACATAGGGAATATATCCTCAATCACTTTGTTTCTTTATTTAAATTGCTCTGTTTCATAGCCATTTAGCAATATAGAAAGACATCAAGGATAAAACTCTAGCCAATATTTAAGGATTATTTCCTAGAGCCCGCAAAATTCAGTGAATGATCACCACCAGCATTGATTAATAAATACGTGCATGCATTTCTGTGTGTGATTTGCTATTGTTTAAGAGGGGAATTGGTAAAAGCCCTCTGAGCCTTCAGTATACCTGTGAGTCCATAAATCTGATACTGTACTTTATGTTCAATAAAAGAAAAAAGTAGAAATGGATCAAATTTTGTCCTGAAAAAATGAGATTTGTGATGGCCCTACCCCCTTTCTTTTTGTCTTTTAATATCATACTTCCTAAAAGGAACTATGATGAAGCATCTAATCTAACAAACTATTTCTCTTATCTGGAAGAAGCACACATCACCCCTCTTTCTTTGTTGGACCCATAAGTGATTGAATTTCAGGAAAGGTAATTAGATGAAAAGATATAATTCGTCCTATTTTCCGTCTGTTTAGCCATAGTGCAAAACCCCTTTTAGCAAAGTCTCTAAGAACCTTCTGAGAGCCCACTATAGAAAGAAAAGGTGGCAGTTGAGAAAGGGACTCAGATAATTGCTTCCCGGTGGAAAGTTGATTTATGGGAATCCCACTGGGTAATGGTCATTCACGAGAATTTGGGCGAGTAGTCACAGGCTAACCAAAGGGATGCAATTATCTCTTTCACAATAAATCTAATGATAGTTCATCACTGCACAAATTTCGTGCTCTCCTCCAGGGTCCTCCTCCTCCCATTGTTCTGTTACTTTAAAATGGAGGAAACTATGGAATTTTTTTTTCGGGAACGTTCGCTTTAACCCCTCCAAGAAGGCAGTCTCAAGAGCAGAGCATTAAGGCAAGAATTTGCCTCTTAACAAAGCTCTGTTACTTTGGAAGTTTTGCTCTGCTTTCTAATGTCACGCGGCATCAAGATGTGGAGACAGCCAAGAGGAAGGAGAAAGCCACCCAAATACCCTCCTGCTCTCGCCCACCCACTTGCGTTGTCCTTTCCTCAAGAACTAGCGCGAGGAAAAATATCCCCCTCACCAGCCCGAACCACGGTGTCCTCTCTTTTCTGCATCTGCTGCCTTGTACCCGTCACTGTTAATGAGTGTTGTAATTAATAGATCGCTCTCCTTGTCTCCCTGCTTGCTCTCTGGGCTAAGCACTTTCCTCAAGTCAACGTTTGAAAGAAAGCGGGTCGGCACTGACTTACAGCAGCCCTGTGAATTCCTTTTAATTTAGAGCACTTACACCACCACTTCACTTATTACCTTATAATTACTGGACTGCTCGCACATACATTATGATCTTAGACTAGAGTTAGAAGTTATTAGGGTACTAAACCATGGTTGCTCCCCTTTCCTCTCTCTAGCACTGAATTTCTCACAGCTATGACAATTAACTCTTTCACCATCTGCCTGCAAAGTACTGTTTTATAATTTTTTTTTTTTCTTCCAGAGAAGAATTGCTTGGAGCTGCTTGATTGCAAAACATACCACGTTTTCTTCCAGCCCTCTTTCCCACCCCCCCACTTTCTCTGTCTTTCTCTGTATTCTCTATGGTCACTTTCACCCCAATTTTCTTTCCCTAAGGCTTCTTTTTTTTTTCCTATGGAACTTCTAAATTTTGCAGAAATCTTGATTTAAGGAGCAAGGCCAGAAATTACCCTCCAGTTTACGGAACAGTTATTTGCCATGTCATCAAATGTTTATGTATCAAACGCATGTTGTTAAAGTCCCCGAAAAATAGGGACTCTCCATCCAGCTGTTTCATCCAAAATCTTAGCCCATGACTTGGTTACAACCTGGATGGCAGTAAGGAAATTCAGGACATTCAAGCTGCCAGGGGAGTTCTTGGAACGATGGTAATATTTTGTCCTAAACAAGATCTGTCCACTCTAGCCATAAATGAAAATGAACAAGCTGGATTTGTGCTTGTATGTTGTACATGTTTTTCTCCTGACATGAACTGCTTAATTAATACCTTTTGCCCAGTGGTAATAATAAAAGTCAGAATTGCCATTTATCAAGCGCTTACTATGTGCCAAACACTGACCTGAGCACTTTACAAACATTACCTCATTGAATCCCCAAGAAACCTGGAAAGGGTGGTATTACTCTTTAGGAAACTGAGCCTCAGACATTCCAAAACTTGGGGAAGGTCCTACAGTTAGGAAGCAATAGAGCCAGAATCTGAACTCAGGTCTGACTCCAAAGTCCAAAGCAGAAATGCTTTGAAGCTAATGAGAGTTTTAAACAGTGTTTGCTCATTTTTTTAAAAAATAGCCAAGCAAGCAGGGTAGAGGTAGTACGCAGAGATCTACTGCTTTTATTTCTTAGCAAGTATATCCACAGCTCACCTGCAAGTGGAAAAGGGTAGAAGGGGCCACCACCCTGGCTGTAGGTCTGTCCTATTGAGTCACCCTCCCCAGGGTTTGGAGTGACGCCTAAACAGAATCTCTGAAAGAACCCGTTGTCTCCTAATTACTACTTAGCTCATTACACTGAACTCTTCCTAGACACCATTACATTATAACCTAAAACTACAGCGAGTCTTAATTCTCTCCCCTCTCTGTCTCTGAAATTCTACAGCTCTATTATTCAAGCCTGAAATATTCACAACTATCTATAAATTCAATTGTCAGCTGGTGGGTTTTATTCTAGACTTCACTTCAATCTAAAATTAGAGGCACTAAAATTCACATTAACTCTAAGAGGAATGTAGTGAATAAGACTTTATTTCAAAAGAACACCTTTTTGTCAGAAAGAGCCATTTTCAAGATGATGGCTTTATCTGTAGCCAAAGAGAATAAGCCCAATTCCACATTGTACTGTTAATGTAGAAATTTTAAGTCACATTGGATTAATAAAAATCTAAATTTGGTTAAGAATTATGAATAGAAATAACATGTGTCGAAATAGGTGGGAAATATTTATTTTAAAGCCTTAGTATGGTTACTTTTATTTCATTATTTTAAGAAAAATGCGAAGAACAAGGGAGCAAGACAAGCTACTGTCCAAAAACCTCCAAATGAATATCCTGAGAATAAACTGGAAGGGGAAATAACTGTGGCAAGAATAACATTTAGTTTCTTTATAAGACACCAAATTTGAAAAATTAAACAGGCTTCTTGAAATTTCAGCGTTTTTAAAAGCATTTTTAACACACAGTTTGAGATACAGTCTCAAATAATTCTGATTATCATACTTGAACATAGGAACTTGTTTCCTAGCTCTGCGTATGGCCAGCCAGGGTAAAAATCATCTTTGGTGTTAGATACTATCGATAATCAGGCAAATAAAGACTTCTTAGTTGGACTGTTTAAAGATGTAATTTTTGAAAGTTAATTAAATGTGTGTATATGTGTGCACATATAGAGAGAAAGCGAGAGAAAGAATAAGAATCAGTTAAAGTTGCTGCTGTAGGAGAAAACAAGATAATCTGGAAGTTAATATTCAATTTATACTATAATTATCAAGCCTAATCATTTTAGGAGAATCTACCTAGTTCCAGGTAAATGTGCGAGATTAAATGAATTGCCATGCGTTTAAATTTCCACGTGCATATACAGATGTCCAGAGCGGTGTACATTTTGAAGAAAGGACTTAAGTTTAGCCAATACTGTTAATTGTTCAATGTTGGTTTAACAATAATGTTCTATAGGTTATAAATTATAAATCCTCTCATTGAAATTATAAGTTCTTAACAAACAGCTATATTTCATCATGTGAACTTTATATACAACTTGAATTTCTTTGCTACTTCATTTCCCCATTTAGAAAAATAGGGAAATAGAGAAAAGGGTGAGTAGAAATTTCATAAGGAACATGTATATAGAGGTCATCTTAGACCTTCCTGATTGTTATACTAAGACCAGATAAACTGCAATTTATATTATGCCCATACCAGTGATGGCTGCCTTCATAGGCTAAATAAATGTCAACTAAAGAATTCACCATTTTCTTTTCTTCTTTGTCATCCTCCAGGGCCTGAAAAAGTACTCATCATAATTAAAAATTTCAAATGCTTTAAAATTTTATTCCCAATATTTTTTGCATACGAACCCTGAAGCCAGCAAACCTGCAAGTTTACAAATACACCCAGAGATAAGAGTCCCCATTTTCCTCTCACCAAATCACAGAATTTCAGGGTTAGAAAGGGAGGTTATCAAGTCACACCACCTATTCACTGTGTTCAAGATAGAAATGAATTTGTGGCGATTGGTTCGTTTTCTACCTTCTGAAATCACCAGATTAAACATTTAAGTATGTTTGTTTAAAAAAGTTAAAAGCTCTTG